AACACCTTGCCTTGAAAACTGCAGGAACTCATCCAGGCAGTCGCTGCAGAATCGGTAATGATTGAGTGCAGATAAAAAAGAAAATGTATTCCTACATCCCCACAATAGCCTATGTGGCACCAATCCATAGTTTTTCATATATATTTTAGCACTTCCATTCATAACAAAACCCATACCTTCAGTTCCCTGTAAGTATTCATCAATTCCATTTCACAAGATTAGGTGATCTATTACATCCTTCCTCTTTCTCTTAGTTTCACACACAATCCTTCCTTCCTTCCTTCCTTCCTTCCTTCCTTCCTTCCTTCCTTCCTTCCTTCCTTCCCTCCATATTCCAAGTCACAATCTTCCTTATGATACAATCATCTCCAGCTGGTAGATATTGGACTCTACTACCCATTATGGCCACAAACGCCATCAAAGCCCAGTTTCACCCCAAGTGGATTCACCCTGAAATCTCTAATCTACAGACTATCATGCAAAACATCCCACCAACTGGGATGCAAATACAATGTACAGAGGACACATATTCAGGATGTCTTCTTTTGAGATTTTTAAAATAAAATAGCAGTTTTTAAATCTTTTTTATTTCCTATGTTATTATTTTACATACATAAAATTCCAACTTTTGGGGAAACACATGTAGTTCTGGATCAGAGTTTGTTTTAAAACAGAGACCATAAAGGGTTGCCACATTTTTTGATCCACCTTTCTATGTGTTGCACATTAAAAAAAATCTCTGATTCAAAGCAAGGCAGTCTCATTTTGACTTTTTGGTGTTAAAAATCTTTATCAGTATGTTTCTTACCCACTTTACAATCACTTAAGATAATCTCAAAATAAAGTAGACTATGTGTTTTTTCACTTTAGACATTGGACAGGACTATTCTACATGGAGTACCTTAGTTAAGCAGCCACAGCTAGAAATAGAGAGAACCCTCAACCAGCCCCCAACATAATGTAACTGCTTTTGCTATATAGATTTTGTTTTACTATATGGATCTTTTCATCTTTCTCCTAATTCTGTTTTGCATTTTGAACCTGCAGTTGAATTGACCTTTTCTGAACAATGAACTCCTCTTGTGGAGCACAGAAATGCAGCCTTGATCATCCTTAGGGCAGCCCCTCCCAATTTAGGACCTTCCAAATGTGCTTGGGGTAAAATTCCAAGACAGTGTAGCCATTGGCTAGACATGACTGGCTAGCTAATCCCAACACATCGGAAGGTTTTTATATGTTACTGTAAAGAAAAATGAGTAGCAAACCTGTACACTGGCCCATTAGTTCCTCCAAGAAAGATTTAGCCCTCTATTCCAACCTCTCTGGGGAGTGCCAGCTGACACAGCAATCTGACAAAGTCCAACTACAATTACTATATTTCAATTAGTGCTTTGTTTCCAGAAGTGCAAACAGGTAGGACTGTTTGACAAATTGAACAAACATTGTCACCTTTTTTAATTTTTACAAGGATGGTCATAAATTCTGGCCAAGATTGGCTTGGCCTAGATCACACTTGGTGCTGCTAATTCAGTGGTATTTGTATAAAGAGACGTCTTCCCTTTATTGGTGGCTTGTGACAGATGTCAGCTCTTTGGAATCATTACACTTTACTACCTCAACAATGAGCATTCCATTCCTTGATTACTTGCAGTTTTCACCTAGCTGACAGAAACAACACATCTAATATTCACAGTGCCTCTTGAAAAAAGTTGGGATACACAATCAAAATTCTCTGGAAAAGCACAGGACTACATTGTATTCCTAACAACTCTGCTTTAGTTGTTTTTTGTTTATTTGTAAACAACAGAACTCAAATTCTTGTGAGTGGCTTTTATTTATTTTATAGAATCTCTACTTCTTCCTTACAGATGGATGTGACCTGTCTAAGATTGAGAACATTTCATCTCAAAGCAAAAACTTGCTTAAACTACCATCTTCCTGAAAGAGGTATAGTAAGGCCAGAAACTATTTATCATCCCATAAATTAAAAACAGAGTTTAGTTTGGGCAGTTTCCTCAACAATAAGGTAAAGGACAATCTTGGAGTCTAATAATAGGATCTTCTGATGGAATGGTTTTCAGGAAACAGCACCAGAAGATGTCTCTGTCTTTGATTAAAGGTCATGGATTGAAGAGGTGACCTCAGTGATGTGAGAAGATTACTTCTAGGCCAATTCTGTGACTAATTCTGCCATTTTTATTATTATTAAAACTTTCCCAGTCTGGTACCCTTCATGTTGGCTAGCATTTCTGA